TAGAGAAATTTGTGAATTGATCTTTTTACTTTTTTTTGTAAATAAACATATTGACTGAAAATTGATTAAATGGAGAAAAAACATAATGATTTTGTTGTTAATATTTTTATAGGATTTTATTATTAAATTATATTTATTTCATTAAATGAAACTTTATTAATGGTTTATTTATATTTATTTATCAAACTGAATCAAACATTTTCTGGTCGACTGATCATATTTTTTTTTACCTAATAAAATAAATCTTTTATTCATTTATTTTATTGTTTATATTTTCATATTTAAGCTGAATGTTTGAAGTAAATGAAATATATAGTTTTTTTCAGTTGAATATAATTTATTAACTAAATCGAAAATTGTATATAAAGTTATCGTATTCATTGAATTTATTTTCATTTAAATATTATTTTCAATCCATGAAAAAACGAAGTAAATATTAGTATATTTTAAATCTTCATTTATTACCAAATATTTAAAGTAGAAATAACTCAATTAATACACAAATATGAGAAAAAGATTAATTCATTATTTGATAAAAATATTTGCAAATAATATTATTATTATTATTTACTCTAAAAAGTTGAATTTTTATTAATTCATTCAAAGCAGTATTTTTCAGAACAAAATATCCTGGCAAAGTATTTAACCAAAGAAAAAAGTCGAAAAAAAGCTTGAACCAATGAAAATTGTAATCATAGCATCAAGTGTTTGATTGTTTAGCCCCAGTCGAAAAAAAATAGCTATAGACATTAAAACTAGAGTACGAAGTGCAACTCGTGTCTTTGTTGCGCTTTTGACCCCGGGATCTACACACTAGTAGGTTGTCTTCTTGTCTGTGTGCACGCCTGTGTTTGTCCCGTGCAAACTTTGTTTTTGCAAATAGAACCACGTGTTTCTGCCGCCCTGACCGTCTCTCTTATTCTCTCTGACGTACTACAGTATCTACTAACCCCTTACCACCCTTCTGGATTCGTTTTACTCACCATCTTTTCTCTCTTTCTTCGAATCCACACCCCCTTGCGCACACATGCGACAGGTGCCTAAACCGATCTAGGTCGAGCATGAAATCAAACTATTTGTTGTACATACTGGTTTTTTACATTTTATGCAAATGTATACTACTTGTAACAATTACAATCAAAGTCAACATGAAAATTTTTACCATGACAAAATAATTTTAAAGAATAGTTCTTTGTTAACATTTATTCTTTCACTGTACGATTATTCATATTTTCATTTTTTTCATATGTTAAAAATAATACAAACATGCTAAGAGATTATTGTAATTCGAAAATATTTTTTTGGTTTTAATTACTGATGAAAGTTGCAGATAAACAGGTTTTACTTGAGACTTGGTCTAAAAGGAGATTCTTGTCTTGTGAAGCTTCAAATAAAATACTTAAAAGGTAATTTTCAGAAAGTTTTATAAAACTAATATATTTATTTACTACCTTTGATCTTCATTATTAATAAAAATAAATAAATAATTTTCAAAAATTATCAAAACTTATTTTTAATTCGAAAAAAACATTCAGTTCATTCGAAATTCTAGAATATTTATATTATGGAACATTTTAAAATAATATAAATATTATAAAATAGTTCTAAGTTATTGTTTCAACTTGATTTATTCAGACTTTCAGTTAATTTTTGATCCAACTGATTGATATAATCATTTCTTTCACTAAAGCATTGTAATTCATTTAATTCAAGTACTTATTTATTATTTAAACAAGAATTTATATTCATCTCAACATTAATATTCTCATTAGCGTAAATGACTTTTTAAATATTAACTAAAATTGAAGGAAAGTCTAAAGTTTATTGGAAAAAATTACCAAAGTCTTATTATCCAAACTTTTTTTAACGTAATTTATTTATTCATTTAAAAGTCATGTCCAGTTTTAAAAATATTTTTTTCTCAGCACACCTTGAGAAACAATGAAGCCTTGTGATGAGCGACACGTGCTCCAAAGTGAACATAGTCAAGGAGAAATATTCGAAAGTGATGAGGGAATAGTCCAAAACATTATATATGAAGACGACATGCAGGAGGTAGCAGAGAGTGAAGAGAGGATGTCAAAAGGTGAGAAACGTGGGTAGATATATACTAATTGAAGGGTTCGTCGAAGAAACGTACGGTAGCTGAACTCCATGATTAACACTTGAAAGTTGGACCACACGCAGCGATGGATGATATTCATTCTCTACGTGTTTTTATCTACTTTACGTTTACTAAAATGATACTTTCTATTGTATCACAAGTGTTTACAACTTCACGAACCGATAATTTTGCCTTGGACTTGGTAGAATTCCTAGAATCATGCGGAAGTGAGGAAAAGGGCGCGAACGAGAAGAGATAAGGGAATTTGAAGAAGGCGACGAAAGACCGTTTACACAACTCTTTGCCGTCCTGTGATGCCATTACGTACTTGAGACTGACTGGCCTAAAACTTCTACTTTGGACATGCCATGAAAGAACAAAGGTGACTCATTTCTGGATATTTTAGTTTGTTTCGAGTATTTTTAGTTCACGTAATACCTTCATGAATAAAAGACACTTCTGCAAACATCTAGAGAAAATTCAGGTGAAATCAGTCACAAATTTATCAAGAAAGTCATACTAAAATGATGATTCTTTTTGAGCAACAATATTCAACAAGTAAATAAAATTATAACTTCATGGCAAAAAATGTGATACAAAATATTGTCTCTGTAGCATAATTATCATGAGGCTTGAATAATTCTTTGCATCAGACGAGCTGAGAGAAAACGCAAATCTATAAATGCATATGCAAGACTTCTTAAGTTCAGTTTTACACTACGTTGAGTCTACGACTTCTTGAAATCACCTATTCCCTGTGTGATAGAGTGCTTGGTTCACGCGCCTTAACCCTGAAGAGTCCTCGAGGTTGAGTCAAGAGCATCTTTTCATCTGCATGGGTGGCCCATTCTTCTTATATATGCATTATATAAGTTCTCTGTGTATTCGAAACAAGAAGTAGAATATGATGGATCTCACCAAGCAATGTCTGACCACTGCAATCTCTCTTCCGTGAATGAAAGTTGTGAATTTTTTTTTCATCAACCTGACAGAATTATTACAACAGTATATGTGGTTGAATCGGTATTAAAAGAATAAATTTTCAAAGAAATTCTTATCGTTTGAAGATTCATGGAGCTCGTGGTAAAAATACATGGACTAGTTGCTAACGTCATATTTCTTTAGATAACAATAGATTAAATTTTATTCTACGAAGTTTTTATTTTTAAACATAGAAATATCTCTCTACTTAAAATAAAAGGCTGATGAATTATCAAAAAATATCATATTCTAGGATAATTACTGACAAAAACAAGCTCATAAAATTCATTATGTAATTTTTTTCACAGCCAAAAGACTTTTGTTCAATGTTGTGTTGAACAAAGAAGAAAAGACATAAGATAACTTAAAAATTCAATATTTTCTGAAATAAGAACAGCTAAGAAGCTATTTGAAAGTTATACGAAAGTGGAGAAGGTACAGAAAATTTACTTTCAACCCTTGGTAGAGGGCAGTTAGGCAATATGGCCGATTGATCATGGCGTGTCGTCGTCATCGTCGTCGTCGACGGACACATAGGGCGCAGGACGGCTAGAGGGGTGGAATCACGTTGCCTGCTTTCCGCAGATAAGGACGGACCCTATATTCTGGTCTATGCTTCGTGACTTTAGCTCTAGCAACTTCTCTTCCTCCCTTTTCCCTTCGTCTATTGCTCTCTCGGTCATGTACGAACATTGCCACCCTGAGTAGCGAAAACTTCGATCGATCATCCTTTGTCTGTAATACGGACAACCGCTGTCCGCTGATAAATTGACTCGTCCATCCTCATACTGACGTTTGGTTGATGTTTTTCTCTCTTTTAGGCTGAATAATAAGCGGAAAAGACGTAATAAAATATTTTAAAGCTTGATAGGGGGGAGGGGGGGGATTTATTAAACTACTTGTATGTACCAAGGGATAGTCTTGTTCTCTGTTATTTCTTCAACCCCTTAGTCGGTGGGTTACACCAGTAAAATGTCACTGAATAATATAAATGCCTATCAACAAGCACAATCCCATGAGATTACTACTGAAGGAATAACATTTATTTAATTATTATCTGTTTCCCCGGAGATAGAACATGAATTCATAATTCACCATGAATGTTTACCTCACTATTTGAGGATGTGCAGGATTTTATATTAGCTCTCATACATTTATAGCCTCCAGAGAATAAGTATGTATGTAAAGAAGGCATCAGTTAATTGAGTAGGTGAGCTATATTTGAACGGAATTTCACACATTATTACTTCGTACATTGATTTACACACTTCTTATTGGAAGAAACAAATAGTGACAATTTTCACGACTGTAATTTTACAAATTATGTTTGCACAATCTTTTGGTTACCATATGTTTCATTTACATATATAACAATTTTTTTTAAAATTCATTCCAATTAGTAATATCAATTAATGTAACTTATTTCATAATCGTTATTAAATTAAAGATGATGGATATTCTATAGTATATTTTCTTTCACATACTTGTACGTCTAGCAGTAAATTATTATATGAGCTCATTGTAATGAATCCTGCAAGTAAATCTAATTATTTAAAAAAAAAATGATGTGCATTACAGCTTTAATCAATATGAAATTTTCTTGTAATCGTTATTTTTGATCGGTTCCATCTTGTCATCAATAAGTATTATTCAAAAAATGATTCAATTAAATCATCAATTGATCGATATTAAGTGACTGAAGATTAATATTTAAAATTGAATTCTAATCATTCATCCTAGTGCCATTCTGTGTCACAAAGTCGTACTACTGAATCACTTAAACAGTCGATAATGAATTTAGCAGTCGATATTACAGTTTACGGACACTTAATGGCATACTGTCGATAAAGTAGAAAAGCAAATTAGTATCATAAGATGGAGGAATTTACAGATGACGCAATGTTGTTTTGAGTTGTGCATAGTGAGAACGGTGTCCAAAAATTGTCATATTTTGCGTACATTTTCACACAAAAAAACATTATAATGTTTTAAATCATGATATTCAAACGTTTATTACATAAACAAATAAGCTCTTTTTTACATCAATGTGATAAAAGGGTAATGAATGTTGATCATTTGAGCCTTGAATTAAATGTAGGAGGTTAGAATTGACAAGCTTACAATTAAAAGTAATTAATTTTTCCAGTTTATCATCCATAACACATCAGATTCATCATTAAAGTGGAAGAAAATAAAAGACTTTAAAAAAGCAATGCCGCCTCATAGAGAAAATCCCGTAGTAACAGTACTAGATACTCCAGAATTTCGATCAATTTTTACTCCAGAATTAGATGTGGTAAGAAATCTTTTTAAGAAGTATAATTATGAATTGAGGATAGCTGGTGGTGCAGTTCGTGACATGCTTATGAAAATAACACCAAAAGATCTTGATTTTGCTACAACTGCAACTCCTAATCAAATGAAAGAATTCTTCACAAACGAGAACATTAGAATGATTAATATGAATGGTGAAAGACATGGGACTATTACAGTTAGAATAAACGATGCTGCTAATTTTGAAATAACTACATTGAGAATAGATGTTGTTACTGATGGTAGACATGCTGATATTGAATTTACGACAGATTGGATACTTGATGCGAATAGAAGAGATTTAACGATAAATTCAATGTTCTTAGACTTTGATGGTAGGGTTTATGATTATTTCTTCGGATATGATGATTTGGAAAAAAGACGAGTTGCTTTTGTTGGAGATGCTCATACTAGAATAACTGAAGACTTTCTAAGGATTCTTCGATACTTCAGATTTTATGGAAGGATAGCTGATCATCCTAACAATCACGAGGAAACGACGATTAAGGCCATAAAGGATAATGTTAGTGGGTTAGAAAGGATTTCTGGGGAACGAATTTGGACTGAATGGAGTAAAATTCTTGAGGGTAATTTTGGAATGGAATTAACGATAAAAATGATCGAATGTAATCTTGGAAAATACATTGGACTACCGGAGAATATCGATCTTGACAATTTTCGCCAAATATGTCAAAGAGCTCGGTCTAATAATATGGTGCTTCATCCAGCCACAATGATAGTTTCTATGCTCAAAGATGAGAAAGAGGTCTTGGACGCTCATGGAAGATTAAAATGGTCTGGTTATATTAGAGATTTAGCATTATTCGTCGTTTTAAATCGAAATATTGAGGACTCTCAATTGCCTTTGTTGTCGTTCAAACAACTAATGCTGACATCTAACAAGAGGAAAACTACTCGCGAATATATCTTAGAAGTTTTTAAATATCAAGGAAAATTCGATCTTATGAAAGAATTTCAAGAATGGGAAGTTCCACATTTTCCAGTTAAGGGAGATGATGTGAGGTCATATATTACAAATCCTAAAATGATAACCATTGTGTTGAATGCTTTGAAGAGAATTTGGCTGATAGATAATTGTCAAACTAGTAGAGATAGTTTGTTAGCACAAGTACCTGATATAATAGCGAATTCAGAAGAGAAATATAAATCACTTATTGACACTAAAAAAGTTTCTAAAGGAAAAAAAAATAAAGATGTGATTAATAGTTAATATGATTTCTTTTATTCTTCAAACAGTAACCTATATTCCTATTCTACCTGAGTATAAAATATTTAATTTAATAAAAATAGTGTATAGTTGCTAATATCAATATAAAATTGTCAGCATAACTTTTCTTGAAGTAAAAGTAATATCCTAAAAATAGTATACTTTATCAAATCTATCCAATAAAATCGGAAATAAATTTTATAGTTTACAAATCTATCACATTGTTTATGTAGTTTCATAAATCTTTATTAATTTTGGCATCCAATATATGCAGATAGTTTTCCCAATGCAGTTATTTTAACGAGATTCGAAAGCTACATTTTCGATTCAAAAAGAAATCAATGTAGATATTGATTCTAACAATCAAACAAAAAGTACATGGATGTTTTTTAAAGTCATTTGTAGCTAATGTTACGAACATAGAAAACTACGAAATCAGTTCAATGAATTAAAAGAAATGCTTGTAACTGGAGGAAGTTGTCATTTTATATCGAGTTATATTGAATACTTTACGATAACGTCAAGTTTTTTTTTGATTCACCTCGTTGACTCTGTAACGACTGAATTGCCTCCGATTCAGTCACTCCTTATTCTTCTTTGAATTCAGAGTGAGAACAGTGAATAATCTATGAAGCGAGCAAAAAAGATAGCTAGGTTCTAAAGAAACTGTTATTGAATTCAAGTAATTCTCGACCTACATTTTATCACTATCTAATTTACACTCAAAATTAAGCATATAGAAGTTGTAACAATAATATTAGATTAGATTTAGTTTTGGTTTGGAGAAACAAATGTTTGCTGAAGGGCAGATCTCAGTCTGATTATATTTAAGAAGGATGAAGTTGGATACGTCATTAATAATAATATAGTACAGGTACTTTGAAAGACTTTAATGATGCATTTAATACATATGATAAAGCTGAGGGCCGTCACGTAGATAATTGAAAGTGCATTGGACGGATGGATATCAGTGTATCGCATGAGACATGGATCAATACATATATTTATTTATACATGAATTTCAGGTGTATTTCAATGGGTATAGAATAAAACGATCGATGTTCAGTATGTCTATACCACGTGCACCAGGTTGTCAGTTGCAGCACGAATGTATACACGATACGTATAAACTGCGAAATTATACGATAAAAAAATAGTTAAAAGCCACTGAAACCACAAAACTAGTCCGTGGGTCAATTAAGAACTCAGCACGCTAGTCTGGTTAAACCGCAGTCAAACAAAAGAGACTTTTAATTGTCAAGCAATGCCCGTCAGTCTGTAATAACAATTTAATGATGCTCCATTAACTTCCTAGATGAAAATTTGTACCTATATGGATGTGTAACTATAGGGACACTAATTACGAAAACTGTTGAGAAAATTGGATTTGACCACATGACGCCTGCTTGCTGTTTCTCCTTTTTAGAAAATAACACCTTCCGCTATTGCTCTCTTCTTTCTTCATCCACTTCTTACGACGATTCTTCGTCTTTGAACAATGACTCAACGTCTAGGATTCGTGACCCGGAGTTGAATTAACTGCTCGCAGTTAGTCTCTGAGTTTCTTTATTTTTTTTTTTTACGTGCTCGATTTTCTTTCTTACTTTCTCTCTCTTATTCCTGTGCAGGTCTATACATATACTCGAGTGCTATTCTTTATAAAAACTTTTGCCCAGGCTATACTGTCGTCCATCCCACTGACAAGTATATATCTTTACTGGTTTTCAAATATACTCAAGGTTCGACGAGAATGCATAAAAGTTCGGTGGGCTATCCGATTTGAAAACCCCCCAACTTTATAAAGCGGATAGAGAAAGTTTACGGGCAAGAAAACTCGTGTGCCCAGTGGATGGAAAAGGAAACTTGGTGCACGTATGGAGAAAGGAAGAAATGAAAAAGTAAACTGGCAACCGACAGATTTGTTTCTGGATTTCGGGCTTTTGCTAGAGAATCCTCTTGGGTGTACTGTGGTTTTACGACTAACCGCTTAGCTTCACCAAGTCAAACCATGCCCTAGACATCTCCTCTCTCTTTATCACTTGACTGTCACTAACATCGAAACAATAATCTGCCTCTATAATACATTTCCTATTCTGTTGCCTTGAGAATAGAATCCATCCAGATCCTACTACGGATATTCTCTACATATCCGCTTGGCATCTGTGAGGTGTCAACGATCTCCTCTGAAGAAATCCTATAATGTCCATGATAATGGAAACAGTGGTGACAGGAATAGGTAGCAGGATAATGTTCATCGGTTGAGGATAGCTCGACGATAAATTTAAGCAAATAGAGCCTCTGTAATTCTCCGTCAGCAGTGTAGTTCATACTGCAGTCTAGGTTCTCAGTGTCAAATACAGGTGCAACGCTCATTGCTCTTGTCAGACCAATAATACCAGTTAATATAATAATCCTGATATATCATAATCAACTGTTATTTGCCAGTATTGTTTTATTACCGTCTGTTCTCTTATGACTTCATCAATGAACCAATAAAGTGACAAAATAAATCAGCACTCGCGTCATATCGAGATGTAGAAAAGAGAAATAAATTTTTCTTTAGATCAAACTCGGGCTTGCTCTGTCGTACCCTTCGCAAGGGTAGTGGGAAAGCAAGCGCGGGGGCGAAAGCTCGAGATATGCCTGCGCGGTTACACACGTTCCCGTCGTGCTTCTGTCAGTACGCGTCGAACTGCCACTACGGTGCGACCGCAAATTGACGGACAGACTTTTGCACATCGAGTCATTGAAATTTTATTTATTTACTGGAGATTTTATTGCTTAAATATTTTTTTCTTTTTAGTTCTTGAACTCTACTTGGGTTCATTAGTTATTTTCAGTCAAATGAAGTGACATAAATTGAAATAATTATTATAAACAATCAAATAAATAAATAAAAAATTAGATAATAGTTTGTAATCAACGGACTTCCGCCTTTTCAGAAGTTTTATTATCATAACCATGACTTGGCACGCTGGAATGTCTATTTGGATGATCATAGCGTTGACTGTCATCACTTTCACCACCAGTAGCATCGCCGGTAAGTTTCTTCAAATATTTTCCCGCACATTATCATTCCATACAGCAGCAGTAGCTTGTACTTGATTGGATTCTCGACGTAGAAAAATTATTTATTCAACTAGGGACGTATGAGAACACGCGGTTGCACTTGGCGCAAAATTTTCGTCGTTATAGGATGCATTTTGCATGCCAAAAATCGTCTGAAGGAAGTCATAAGTGCGGAAAGAAATGGAGAAAGTGAGACAACGTGAGGAAGTAGTAAAATTGCAAACTCGGCATGATGTTGAGGGGATGATAAATTTCGTTGGAATGTGATCATACGGAACGCTGAACATGGCCAGATCAAACTTTTTTCTCCTTTTTTTATAGTTTTTTTATGTACTTACTTGCTGCGACAAATTAATACCCATGTCGCGACGTTATTGATGGTCTTTATTATGATGTCCAGCAATTGACTCGATGTAATAGATATGGCTCATCTAATCATTAGATGTCAACGATTCGCTTTGAGTGAATTAGAAATGATCTTTAATTAAGTTTATTATATGTACATATATTTAATATGATCGACATGTTTGTCTTGATGACATTTGTTGATGAATTATATTTATATAAATTAAAAATTCATATTAATAATACAAAATTTGAATAATTTGATCAATCAATTATTTTTAACATAATTAACATGAGTTACTAAAAAATAATTTTTTATTTATATGAAATAATTTTATCATCTCCAATGATTGTTTCTAAAATTATTACTAATACGGATTATTATTGGTAATCACATTGTACGACATTTTGAATAAACTAAACAAATATTTGATAATAATCAATCAATAACATGTTATTATTTAATTTATTTAAATATTCAATCATGTCAAAGTTCATATATGACAATTGATTGAATTTCAGTCTTTTTTTGTAAAACAATTCACTAATTGAATGACATATTTTATATGAATTAAACGCACATTTGTATTTATCAATCAGATCAAATATATTTAATCTAAAACATAAAATTTCATTATTTAATTAATTAGCTATTGAGACCAGCTCCATTTGGTGAAATGAATAATATATTAAGTAATATTAAATTTTTAGCTAAATCACAGCTAAAGTTCAAATATAACTGTATATATATTTTAATAAAATTACTCCGCTTAATTTGAATACCAAAATTAAAGCACACAATTTGAGATGTATCCAATATTTAGTCACTCATATAACTTCAACGGAATCAATGATGACAAGGATTTCATATAAAAAACTAGCTTCAATTTAATTATTACCATCATGATGATAATGGAACTGAAATTGAAATTATATTATAAATAAATAAATAAAGGCTTAATATATTTTTAATAAAATATGTATGTGTTATACTTGACATCGAACATAATCTCTGGCAATTTTCCTCTTATTACGATTTCTATCCAATATAGCGGACAAGTTTAATTAGTTTTTCCACCGACTGTCAATCTACACACTAAGTCTATATTTAAAGCCATCATAAAACGTAGTGGCATTGCGTTGGGTCATGTTAATAAAGCCTTTAATTTATTTTGACATGCAATTTAAATAAAATGAACATCACTCAAATTTTAGAAAAAATTTACAAATAAATAATAGTGAAGTTGAGCAAAGTTACAATCTTCTATATACTGACGTGAACCTCAAAGGAAAATGCTGGGTATAAAAAATGTAAGAAAAATAGAGGAAGATTTGAGATAATCTTAAAAGTTCCTCAAGCAATATTATATTGCCAACTTGAAACGTCAGAATCTCTTCATACTTGCATGGGCTCCTTAAAAGAAATTTACTGATAGAAAATAAATATTTATTCTACAATGTCTTTAAATATTTGTACTACTTATGTTTAAGGATAGTAGGAGTAAATAATTGAAGTGAATGTCAAATCAACAGACTGCAAAAGGGTTGAAAAAATGTCTGCTCTTGAGAAGTTAAGCTCATGTGTATTTTTAAAGAAAGAAAACGCTGCAAGGAGTGAAACTAAACGAAGAAGACTCGTTGGTTTTTTTATCTTTTGTACTTATTTTCGTTGACGAGATCCGTACGCGTATATGTACATGTGTATATATTTATATAGATAGATAGGTATATGTAGATATAAAAAGCTAAAACTTGTACTTGATATCTCGTACTCTATATCCACTTTCTATAGGAATTGAGTTGTCGACAACTTTTAACGAGCAAAGAGAGAAACGCTGGAAAGAAAAAATCTAAGTTGGGGGTAACATTGTACGAGTATTTTTAATTAAAATTTCCTCTCAATCCTTTTCATTTGAATTCAAATTATGCTCAAGTTTTAATTTACATTGATACAATTTTATAAACAATGTTGTATTAATTGATGACAAATTTGTATCAAAGACTGATTTAAAGAAAATGAAGACATTCAATGAGAAGTTCATCATAAGTTTTTATCAATCGACGAAATTTAGATCAAATTTATTTCTTATGTTAGTGTTCAATCCTACGTTACTGTACTCAATCTCTACAAGTCTTTGCAATTTAAGGGATGTGATTGAACAATTTTTTGTTGTCAACAGTTGAGAAGAAACAATCTAAAGAGAAAAAAGATATGTAAGATTTTTTTAAGCTAAAAATACTTCAAGAAGCTAAGCAAAAAACTAAGTTCCTTAAGGGTTGCATCCAATTTTTTCCAACTCCACGAAGGCACTTAAGGTATATAAAAAATTGAAGAATGTTTGTTTTACTCTTTCTGATTTCTAAGTAATCAGCTAATTAAATCACAGGATTAAAGAAGAGGCGACGAATCTTTGACTCCAGAGTTCAGTTTTTATTCGCTCATTAACTTGACGTCTTTTGCCAAGAGAAATAAATTATGATAGTTATTAGTATGTTTTATTTCTTAGGAAAAAGTGGAATAACTTGTTTCATGATTTCTTTGTCAAGTATTAACAATGTTTTTTTTGGCTCCTGATTAATGTTTCAATTTCTTAACAACTAAAGAATTTCAATTTAAAATTTTAAACATATTTCGAACTTAATTTTACTCTAATGTTTTTCTTTTTGAATATAAAAGTTTTATTTAATGATTAATAAAATAAACCATTTTCGTTAATTTACCATCAAATATTCATTTTAATTACATAGTTGAATACATGTCTAATCATTTAACTAATTAATTTTCCAAATATGTAATGAATAGATTCAATTTCTCTGAATTTTATATCTAAAATCAATTTAATATTTCACCTAAAATAAAGATCATTTTGAATTTGTTGATAAATATGTTGAAATAAATTCATTACCAGGTTTAATCACTTTTAATGTATCAATGAATTAATAGTTTATTGAGGAATTAAAACTCTGGCACAAACATCTGTATTTCAATTATGCGGCAAAAAATATTTAGAATTGAAAATAGCAAATATTCAACTAATCAATTAAATATTAATATCATAAAGTAATATTAAACAATTTTTATTAAACTTCCAATGCCATCAAAATTTTATTAATATTTATTTTCTATTGAAAATATTACAAAATATTAAATAATTTTAAACATCATTTATTTTCCTCCACATTTATAATTCGCATTGATTCTGTCTGGTATTTTATTTATGGTCCCTGATAAAACCACGGGTTTCATTTTAACATAATAGAATCTCTTAGTAAATTTTCCTTGCTTGGTGGGCGGAAATCATGGTTTCCAACTCTTCATTTACATATTATTCTTTAGCTCTTACTTATTCCTACCAAGAGCTTTTCATTCAGGCCAATTAAATACCTTTGTACTCGAAATAATTCCAAGGACAATAAGTCATTCAAAAGCATTTAGAATATTTTTCATGCTACTCACTTCCATGATAACGATATGAATCAATTAGCAAGAATGAAACTTTCCAATTGGCTTCTTTATTATTTCCTTGAAAATATCTCTAAAGCAGCTGTCGTGAAAAACTTGATTTAACTTTCATTAAGGAAGTTTAATTCGTAACATTCTCAAGCTTTTCGCCGTTATCACAATAATTTTCTGGCCACGCAGAGACAATAAAGCTTGAAGATGAACCTCTACCACTTTTTAACTCAGCAGCATGCTATAAGACCACTTTCTACAATAAAGAGGGTAAGAGTATCGTCCATTAGCTTTTAACGCTGACGTTGCTTCCAGCAATGTACCCTACATGGTTACTTCATCGTTTCCCGTGTGTCCTCTATATTCTCTAGCACCGTAGGGAATATCTACAACATTCCCTTGATCGTGTATGCTATGTTAGTTGCAGCATGGTCCTAGGACCAGCCTAATCACGAGACAATTTGATTTGCATTGTTTGACAGCTTCGTTAATTATCTATTCCGATGACCTGAGTTAACTACCCTTTTTCTAACATCCTCAAAATGTCCTCTCACCCTTCTGCTTCAGTAACTCTATACTCAAAGCTTGAAATCATTATCTCTTACCTTGATAAATTTTGTACCTTTCTCATATGCTGATATATAAAATATTCAAAGGCAACTAGAAATTCTGGAAAAAAATTCGTCTGGAGCATTTCACTCTCAAGTCTCTTCACCTTACTTCTTTGCTGTTGAATATGTTTGAATTATTTTATGCTACGGCTTTTTATAGCTACTAGATCTTTTTAGTTAAATTCTAGTTCTAGGCATAAGAGATGCCTACTTGACGGCTTCATCGCAAGTCTTGCATTGGCTGTGGGAATATAACAAGATATACTTTATTTGATAAAGTTTTTTTTTATATTTTTACCATTGTTACATATAGGCATGGTAGAATAGTGGCTTGAAAATAGTGCTTGTATTTGGAATAGTTTTGGAAGAGACGATAAGTTCTAAGCTTTTTATAGATAGCTGTGTTTCAATAATTGGACCAGGAGATATCGTGGAATATATTCTATGACTAAATTCCAAGTTTTACGTGTTGTTGGGTTTTGGTGATATTAACGAACTGAAAACTTTCATTGATTTCATTATTTTAAATATTAATATTGATCTGAAGTTATGAATATAATT